TCCTCCAGTTTTCAAAGGAAAATCTACTTTTCGAGGCAAACGCGAAGGATGGTTAGTCGCGGTCTTAAAACACGCTAAAACCCATCAAATTCAACACAACAACCACACTGGATAAAGAAGTAAGTATTCTTTATTGATATCCTCGACTGTTGGGATATTTTCGACCAAATAACGGCAATTTTCGGGGTTATTTCGTGAGCCTGTGCGGCCTGTGGAGAGACATGAAACTTTCCCGGGTAAATGCAAATTTACTCTGTGTAGGAAATATCGCGTTCGGTTGCTTTTCCTCGACTTCAAAAGCAGTATTTTACATAAAACATAATATAAGGAATGTTCAAGATGATAAAGAAAGGCTAGAAACGAAAACAAACTGCATTAAACGATCGGAATTTACCTTTAAAAACCAGCTCCTCCCAGTCGTAGCTCAGTCGTTCTGGCCACTTCGAGTTTTTGGTGAGAACTCGTCGTAGTGCAACTTCACAGAACGACTTGAAAACGTGGAGATGCGCAGAACGGATGCGCAGTACGCAAAATCGCTGATCTCGTTCTAGAACTCGTACTCGTTGTCGATGCTAACATCCTCTATTCTTGTTACCGTGACGTCTTAAACTCCCTACATGTAATTTCTGCGAAACCAATTTGCCAACGAGAGGAAGCTGGAGATAAACTAAATTTTGACACCTCAATTACAATGTTTTATGAAACTTAATACGAGGAACGTAACTGAAGATGTTCGTTCATTTACGTCAATCGCCGATCGCATCAATGCCCGAGATAGCTTGAGGCTTAATATTTAATTAGTTTTTCTAATATTTACTAAATTTGTTCAAAAATTGACCATGCACACAAATTCGGAAACTGCATTTTAAAGTGAGTATGCGATTAAAAAAACAAAGCTTTTTTTCTGCAGCGATTCAAAATTGCATTACATTCTCCCCTTTAACAGCAAGATAGCGTATGGATAGGCATTTATCAACGTCCCGAAGCAGCCTTGTCTCTTGGCCCTTTCAAAACAACGACTTAAAAAGAAACGCTGAAGACGTTAAACAAACATGACAACAGAGCCCTAATTTATTCATGACAGATGGAAGTTACGTACACAATTTTCTAAGCCCCTGAAGACGTCTCTTGTCTATAAAAATACCTCCCGTAATCTGTTTAGAACACTTTCTCTTATAACAGATTAAAACTAGCAACTGAAAGAAAAAATTTTGACATCAACTTAATAACACCTTAACATAACAAGAACCAAATACAAAATTACTCCAAATAGTAAAGCGCCCACTTTTCTACGCCAACGCATCTTAACCCGAGATCTGTCCCGGCACATACTGCTTAAAAACAATAAAAAAATTCCCGGCTTCTTTCGACTATGCAAATGTAAGTTCGATTATTGGTATAACAACTTGATCAATTGCGTGTGAACAACATTAAGTAAAACATACTGGAAGATTGTGGTCAAAGAAGCTTTTGGCGGGAGTGCAATGATGACAGTGATGGTACGGAAATCTTTCATGATTGCTACTGTCACAGAGTGGTGCGGACATAAATCTGGATGATAACTGTCAGAATCAAGAAAGGTTTGAAAATATGCTGCAAATATGATGGATATAATCACTCGATACTGACTAAGGTATGTAGGTCTGAAGCTTAAAAAGTAAAAAGTTTGTTAGGAAAGAATTCCAGTTATTGTAACTATTGCAATTGAAGTTCAAGATACATCACAATCCAAGTTTAGAGCAGAAAAAAGGTTCACACATCGCCGGAGCGGAAGAGAAACGCTCAGTGACAAACAGTAATTTCCAGCATGCAAGTAACCTAACTATCTGTGTTTGAAAGGAAACCCACGATTCACTTCGTTGCCTTCGCCAACTCTTAAAAAGTTTATGTTCAATATGCAAATTTTATTCCGAGATTCGACGGGTAATTTTGTGTTTCAACTTTTTCTGCTATTTGGAGAGTTGGACATGTGATTTCAAATTCCCACTTACACCAAGCATCATCAATATAAGGGCCAAGCAACATCAACCTTTAAAACGTAATATCCGCATATAGTTCCTCTGCAACGTTACCCAAATATTTCCTACGGTGTTGTGTCAAAATCAAAAGTTCTTTATTAGTGATAAAGTCTTTTATACTTAAGTTACGCTTGGTTCAGCAAAGATCTTACAAGAAGGTGCTGACGAGTCTATAATAAGATGGAAAGGGCCGACACTATCAAATTGTTTGTTTTGTTTTCCTTTTTCTTCCACAGATATTTTTTCTTGGAATGTGAATATGTACAAAAGTTTTTCGTGGAAACTTCAACTCAGCGATAGCCAGACTGCAACCTCTACAGAAATAATATCAATGAATCAGGCGAAAAATAAAACATATCAACGAACTGATGGGTTGCAGATTTTCCAATAGTCACGTGAGGGCAATGAGCAGACAAAGGTGACTCGCGAAAAGTTAATTCAATTCTCGTTTGCCTCGTTTGCTTGCTCACGTATTTCCTGGTACGATTAGAGGCTACTCTTAGTCTAGTTAAGTGGCTTGAAAACCTGGATAACTTTATTACTAATACTGAAAACGCATTGTTTGTTTTCATTTGTGAAGCTTCACGCAAAACTGCATATATATACAGCAACATCTGTTCTTCAAGACTTGTAGGACAATTAGGTTGGTTTAACATCATGTTAGGATGATTTGCTTTTTTGAAAAATACCAAAACATATGAATAATCCCGAAAGGGAGTTGCTTTCCGATTTAGAGTCATCTTAAATAGTACGAATAAACATTAAGCTACATGAAGATACAATCTTTTGATCTTCAAACAATAGTAACAGTAACTGTCCGAAAACCTTTTGGTATCAGCAATTGCTGTCCACTCAAAAGAAGTATCCACCTTCCCCATCGTATAGAGTCAAGCTACACTGACGCAAACGACATTCGGCTGGGACATGACCGCTTTTGATAGAGTTTTATCGAGTAGAAAACAGGTAAATCAGTTTTGGTCAGAACTCAGTAGCCACCCACCGCCGTCCACTTACGTTTTGACAAACTAGAAGCGGCAGAACATAAAGGGAGGGAGATAATGGAGGTAATTTTACAGTGCATGTCGGAATATTAAAGATAATACCGTGGTCGATAGGTTTTCTATTTTCTGTTTCACTCTTGCCTGCTTCGTGGCTCAAGTTTGTTTGTACTGAAACAGAAAAGGAAACGTTAAGAAAAAGTGTACAAAATTGACTGCAATAAGAAAGGGATTGCCCTCCACTCTAGCAGCTTACAGAATCTTATATCGTCGCTAAATCCTTCAACCAGTCGCCTTAACCCTTACACCTAAAGTAGTAATCAAATGACTAAAAACTTTGACTTTAGTTGTTTTTAAGACGTTTAGTCATAAACCATTCGCAATTCTCTTTCCGGCAGGATTTCGCGCCACACCAAGGAACTATCCACGGCTAACGGAGGAAAGTATAAAACCCAGTAAGCAAGGAACAAAGTTCCTCAATACGGTGCGGTCCAAGTCACCTTTTCTGAAGGTTTGAGATCAAGGCTGCGACATAAAAATGTGCTCCAGTACTACAAGCCTAAGCTGCCCACAGACCGTTCGAAATTTTGGCCATTAGCAAACGCATGCGCTGAGGTACGCATCCGCTGAGCCTCGCAGTGCGCACTAGATGACGAAAAGCGAGAAGCGGATCGGCATTGAAGACAAGTGAAAAGACGAAACAAGCCAGTAAAAGTGGGATCTTAAACCAGGTATGTGAATATTCTGAACTAGCGATCATTGTATATTACTTATACATCACTTTGGTATAGTTATTGTCAACGAACGTTAGCGTTTCGAAGGGATAACGAAAGTCGACTCGATCAGTGCAAGTGACATGCATCGTAACATTCAAGAAATAGCTAGGTTAGGTTTTTTTGGATTCCTTCTTTTTCCAACTCGGAAATCTCAAGGAATGGGGTAGTTTTAAAGTGTTTAAAGTTTGCAATGGCATTGTTCACTTAATGGGCCGAGGAAAGTTAAAAACAGAAATTATTAGTATTAACCACTTTCGATTACCAAACGCCTTCATTAGATTACGGAACAGCTGTGCTTGTGGGGTAATCATTTTTAATTGCGAGTCATTTTAGCTCTAAATACCCGCACACCACGAGACATCCACGCAGCATGTACTTATGTCTGTGATAGCACAAGGAAAGCTGCCTACTACATTTTTTTCACCTCATTTTTTAACTGAACTATTCTTCTTAAGAGCATTTAGTGACAATCATAGCAGGGTGCCTTATGACTTTTTTTCGTTTAACTGAAAACACCACCTTCACAGTATATGAACTCATTAGATGTTATTGTTACAACACTGCAGAGCACTTTGCAATAAAAGGATTTTACAGCAAAGGTACAAAAGCCACATATGTTAAAGATATATTTACCTCTTCTAAATACATCTTCACATCCACCTTTTATCCCACACAATAGATTTGGCCAACTGTATCCACCATAAAGACTAATGCATTTTTTTACTCCCACGATGTTAAAAATATATTTGTACACTTTAGTGCCTCGGGACAGAAAGCCTAGTAAACGTTACTCCTCTTCCTGCTAAGGTTACTCGTAAATATTCAACGTATGTAAACCTTTTTCTGACAACAGATTGCAGACCACAGGAACGGCAGCAAGGAGAGACGGCTGTGTTCGTGGACTAGAATCTAGGCTTTTTGAAAAGGTATGGACGACCTAATAACCTAATGCTATCTTTACACGTGTTAACTCGCCATAGAGCAACGAGTTCGATTCAAGGCCGCCATCTTGATTGCATCGGGTGAGTTAAACCTGGGACACAGGTGTAGGTATCCATGGAAGTTCCCAAGTGAATCAGTATTGTTCACATTTACAGGTTATTAAATCCAATTTAAAAACTATTGACATAATCCGTTTCACTTCCTTTCAGTAGATTAATTCCAATGGCTGAAAAGAGGGTAAGAGTTTATGAAGTAAAGTTTCATTTTTACGATGGATAGTGAGTAAAATTTCAAAGTATTAGCTAGTTCATCAGTACTTTTAAGCCACACTACAAATCCTAAAGGATTTACTACTGCGCAGATCAACAACCTATAATCATCGTGGTAAAGATATTCTTACCTTACCTTAGAGGTCAACACTACAAAGAGGAAGCATTAAAACATGAGACTTAACTAAGTAGCTTTACAAGAAGCTTGAAAAGAATTGACGTCACACAGTTATATTGATCTGTAAACAGTTTTATTATAATTAGTATTGCACTGTACATAGGTTTCATCTATTTTATTACTGACATATTCACAGATTTTTATATCGTAGATAGATATTATATATTGTATCTTAGTGTTTTTGTTTTCCTCGTCTCTATTTTAATTTGTGGCAATACTTGCAAAATAGCGATACTTGCAATACTGTAATGAGCTAAGCGTATCTGACCACATTAATAAAAGTTACTTATTATTACAAGAAATAAAAGCTTGGTGACATCACCTTATCACAGATAAAAAAAAACGTTACTAGCAGACAGAGAGTTTATGTAAACACTGACTGTTATAAGGGTTTTACTGCTTCGCTTTTAGTGCAAGCTGTACTAATTAGCCTTTAAAGGAGCACTCAAGCGGGGTAATATCTCGACTTGAAATAACAATTAAAGAGCTGCCATTTCCCTGTCTCTTGAGGAAGATCTTAGAACGAAATTATTGCAAGGTGTCTAACACGCATAATCACGTGTTACTTTTTAACCTGTTCAGTTGTAGCTTTTACCTCGTGAAACAATTAATAATATAATAATTTTTCATATTTGTCGTCATTTTTTCAATATTTTCCCCTGTCCGGTCCCTGTCTATTTTTCTTACAAGTGTGTTATAGGCGAGGTAAGTAAAACTAAAATTAAAACGAAAAGAAGACATTAAAACGATCAGTGCAGGATTAACATGATGTTTTTAAATGGCTACACGACTCTGTAAGGTGCATAAATTTGTATCTAGGTAAAAACGTTTGCAAAAGAGCTTTTTTCGGTTTTTTTAGCAGAACGAAGAAGGACAAAACAAGGAAGAAAAAGCTCCCAAGTAAGAAGTAAAAATCTACCGTATAAAACCACTAATATCATCAATAGACACTAAGTATCAAAGTAGGCTCCTGTTGGCTTATTTAGGAACTCTTCAAGGTCTCTTATATTTCGCTGACATCTTAGATATAAATCAAGCTCCACCTGTGTCAAAAACATGACCTATCCTCTGTTCCTACAGTTATAATTACAGTAAAAACCAATGAACACCGATATTAATAGCTCTTTCTTTTTGCAAACAAAAACTGAGAAAAGGTAACTGAGCCGCCTACCTCTTATAAAGTATCAATTTAAAACTCTTAAGACAAGATTGGTGACTCAATAGAAATGAAGAGAGGATAAAGTTGTTACTAAGTTTAGAAATGGCACACTCCATTTAAAGTTTCAGAAAGAATATAACCTCAAGTATGTAATGACCCACGCCCAAAAATGTTACGATATTGAGAAAGCTCATCGCTGTTAATACGTCTAGAGAGAAGCCTCTAAGTCGTAATCCCACAAATTTCTCATTACGAGAGCAGTTCTCCCGTATACAAGTTTGGCGATTTCTGGAGGTCTCCTCGCCATCTTTTACCGTTTATGATGCTGTTCTAAACATTTCTCAGCCCAATTTACGCAACTGTGTGTCAAAAGTTTCGCAAATATACTTAACTCTATCCCGATTTAATTTCTTCTTTAGTGGTAAATAAGTAGCCAAGCAAGGAAAATAAATGGATGAATTAATGAAAAGCTATTGAGACAACGACCTGATAAAGAAAATTAGAACTGAAAATGCAAACTTACTGTACCTTACTGATATGCTGTTGATAGTGAGAATGATGTGGGTGAAACTGCTCAGGACCTCCAAGCTGTTTCTGATCCTGGACACCTTGAAACATCTTCCCATGAGGTAAACGTTATGGTTGTCTTTCTTGAAATATGCATGACACCTGACATGGCATTCTGGTTAATCTTGATATCTGACGAAAAGCAATGTTAAATGCAAGTGACCCTTTCCACATCATACTTTCAACGAGACTTTGTATTAAGAGTGAACACCCAGCTGCGAGAAAATATTATACACACAACGAGCTTAAACTAAACAATGATGTTCATGTGACATGCCAACACCTAGTCTGTAATTTATACGTTTTTATAGGCGTATTTGAATTTTGGTTACAAACACTGCTTTTAGAGTAAGAGGGGCATTTGTATCACTTGCTCTTCCAAGAGAATGAGTTTATTCAAATAATTATAAGGACCAAGTTGAGAAAGTGCAGGTTACAAGTCAGGCCATCTGTTGAACCTATTATATAGCTTTCCCACCAACATGAGTTTCCTTGACCTACAAGTAGCTATGCGCACCCTTAGCGCTCCTGAGTCAAACATTACGAGCTGCAAAACTGGTACAACACATTCTCTATATTGTGGTTTTTTTCCTCAGAAGCAGTACACTGACGGAGGGCGTTTGGTGCAACAATGTACTGACACCGGGGGTGAGCACAACCCTGTTTGGTAAGCAAGTCCGAAATGCAAACAAAGGAAGATTGTTCCCAAACCATAGTCGAGTCTTTATCCGAGTCATATTGTAAGGAACTTTAAGGCTCATTATGAAAATAATACGACTATTGCCTGTTATTTTGCCAACCACGAACCTATAATGAATCAAAGCACCGGTCAAATGTAATACTAAAAACAATTTAGTTTTTTCAATCATAATCATTCTGTATCACCTCTCCTTTTGCTTCACGAAATCCTCAAAGGGGATATTTTGGTAACTCCGCTGACCATCATGTCTACCGACTGCTTTACACGTTGTGAGAAGTTAACCGTTTTGACATACGGGTCGGGGAAGTTGGACCATACAAAAGGAGTTAACTGACATATTTTACGTGTCCTCCAGTTGGAAAAATTCAGAATCTTTTCATTCGAACTGTTAACTAACCTTAGAGCTACTCACTCCTTTATTTCAATTTACCTTCTAAATAATTTGAATTTGTAGGTCATAAAAGTGCGATTTAATGCAAGAAATGTAGAAAGCTCTATCCACTTCAGTGGATTTAACTGATTTCAAACTACTAACCGCTTTTGAATTTGGTTACTTCTAGTGGTACAGCATGTCTACAAGTCCCTACTGGGCCAGGGGTAAGAGTAACAAAGCTAACCCATCAACCCTTTTTTATCAAATCTCGGCTACAACATAATTTATTAACAATAAGCTGATTTTGCTGACTTGATTTGGCCAAGCAAACACACGATTGTGTGAATTATCATTTTTACAAATTTTGTTAAAAAGTTAGACAGTACTGCTTTAAAAAAATTTGCGTACATCTTTATCCAGTATATATACTAATAAAAAAATTTGGCGAGGAACTAGACTGAAGTTGAACAAAATGTAAGTGAGATGAATTGGTAACATAAACAACTCAAGCTAATTTAGTTTTCTTTTATATCTCCCACAGGAAAATCAGCACACTGATGTTACTGTGTTTATAATCTTAATTATTAATTTGTTTTATGTTTCTTAAAAATTGTCTGTTCGATTTTGTGCAACGTTTTTGTCTATATGTGTTGTTCAATACTTTAAAGTAAAATTATTTAAAGAAACCGTTGACTTCCTTGTCGTGCCGTGATAAAACAGTAATGTAACAAAAAGTGTTAATTGTCATCCTTGTTGCCGTGACGTCTTAAAGTCCTAACATTTATACTACCCTCAAAGCAAGATACAGTTTAATGACACCAAGATAAAATGTGTCTTACGGGACATAACACCATACTCAAAGAAAACGTTAGCCCGGAGAACAAGCGCTATTTATTCGCGGTCTCGCGTTCCGCGTCCGTTTCGTGCTTACATGAAAAACGCACAAAATAGCGTCTTTTAGACGCGTCATAACATAAATAAGCGACAGTTAACTTCAAAAACATTCGAATTCAAAGGATTCGCAGAAACCTTTATAATCTCATTCAACTGCAAATCTGATCAATATTCTTGTTTCAGAAAGAGACTTTGATAGAATAGTCTGTCGCTACAAACGTACGTCTTTACTACAATGGAAAGACAATGTAACGAAGGGCTTACGTGCTGGCACTATACCAAGGTCTCGTTATATGGAGGTTCTTTACCATATATTTGACTAGCACTGAGACAAGAGATATCCTTCGTTCTGCCAAGGACCTTCGAGCGTTATATAAGGGTTTGATATTCGAGGTCCCTCGGTATTGAAGAAAAGCAACTTAAAGGCTGTCTTAAAAACACACCCAATACGATACTCAGTCATGCTAATGCAAATATCCAACTCGCCAGCAATCTCCCAGGCAAAACGTCGTACAACGGTTATATTTAAAAAAACTTGCTGCTTTCACCATCATAGACAAGAAGACTGATTGTGTCTTTTTAGTCACAAAAAATCCACCGGCTGAATTTCTTTTACGCCATTTCTTTCTGACTTGTACAATGTTTGAAAATTGTATTCTAAACGCAAACGCTTAGATAAAAATTCAATGAAATTTCAATTCGTTTTTCCCGGAAATTCTCAGTTTAAGAAACGATTGAAATGTACATTGCGTCTTTCTTGGAAATATTACGCAAAGGGTCTCAATAGCAACTTGAGCCTCTCATGCAAAACAAAATATCCCAATAATATATACACTTTTTCCCGGAAATAAAACAAAGATTTATGCCTACGGCTACAAACGTTTTATGCACTAGCCTGTTCCAGGCTCCGAGATAGTCGGGTCCGCTGAATTGAGAGAAAGCGAACATGAAAAAAAAAACAAAAACAAAAAATAAAAATGAAAATAAAAATAAATAAAAAGAAAAAAAAGGAAAATAAAAGAAAAACAACGAAGGAAACTGGAAAGATCCTTTTTCCTGGAAGAGGCTATTTATGCACATAATATGGCTTACGACTGAAAAAAATATACTAGGACATACGGAAATACAAATGCATGTTAGACAATAAGGGCTTTGAATGAAGTAGAATATACGCACGACATGATATCAAAGTAGCGCTATCAACCGGATAAATCACCATATCCAACGGATAAGTGTTAGGTAAACCAATTGCGTTATCCAGTGGATAGTGATTTATCCAGTGGATAGCATTATCCACCGTTTGAAAAACTGGGGCCAGACGAGAGAGTTTTCTGCAACCTTTTTGAGGCCTTTTTAGTGAAAACAATGATTCGCTTACACAAACAGAAAGAGCATACATAAGGCCGTGATTCTAACAGGCTGTCTAAACTCGTCGGAAGTAAGCAGCGCTTCCCTATAATGAGGCAGCTTTACTAGGAAGCGTGGAATTTCCGACTGCGTTTTTGTCCGCTTTTAAGATTTGTTCTCACTCCGAATTTATCGCTCCAACTTTGGACTAACATTTCCTACCTAACATTCCCTTCTGGCAAGCATTTGGAATATATGCAAATACTTAAAAAAATTGAAAGCTATTAATAATTAAAAAGAAATAACAACCTTATGTAAATGTTGAACACTTTTAAACTTGATACCAACGCTTTATTATGAAAGATTGTTTAAGTAATATATCAAACACGAGAACAAGTGTTTCAACCGATATCAAGACACCGTGAAGTGAGTCGCGTCCGAGCCAGTTTTATTGAGGATAAGAAGCGATCGTTCTCTTCTGAGCCTGATTTAGTAAGTCATACACTGGATTATGGTGTAAAGCCTAACGACCACCACATACCCTTAAATCATTATTATTAGATCTGTCCTTAAGCTTTAACTAAATCCATGTTTAATGAATCATTAAACATTAATCACAAAGAAAATGCGATCACTGACGTTTATTGTGTACGAAAGTGCTTCATCTGACGAAACTAGTCTAAAGAAAATCATTGAAGTTCCGCAAATGACCTTCGCGCATGAATTGAAACTTTACCACAGACATTGTCTACTTGTCAATGATGAAAATTAGCCAACAAGCGAGCAACGACAACTTATCCGGAATGACAGATTCCACTAAATCTTCTCCAGCGATGGCACAGCTGAGCTCCGGAAGAGACCATTTAAAAATAAAAACAAATTGACATCCGCTCACAAGAGATTGACAATATTCTTGTGTGGCAGCCAATTAGCAGTTTCTTTGGGACACACACCTACCGTATTAGCCGCTGTCAAAAATAACGTAACAGAGTCTAAATATCCGAATAATTCATCATTTTCTAAGTGGATCAAGCGATTTCACAGGTACAGATAAAGGTAAGATTACACTTGATAGTGCAGCCCACCCGCCCCGCAGAATAACACAAAGTAACGATATCGGAAACAGTGTGCGCCAAACCTGCTCTCGCTTTCAGCAGCCAAATATAAACCGAGAACGTTGACAAAACTCCGATCAATAAAAGTACAACCGGTTACTCGGTGTTTCAGCCCCATTCACACCAAAGACTCCGAGGGACACTTATTAAGACTTCTCCTCTTATGTGGTCGCAACCTAAACCGAGCGATTAAGGTAACGTTGGACACAAGTGGCGACATTAAAACACCTAGTGAGGAAATTACAACACCTTACAGCTTCTTTTACGAAACTTGGATCGCGCATTGTAAACATGTGTTGACAATATTCGTTCGTCCGTTTGTTCGTTTCCAGGAACTCCATTTATTTGTTACGTTCTCCTTTTTGCCTGCCACTTAATTCGACCTTGCTATGGGAAAACATTATCTAAACATTCATTGAGCCGATAATTTCTTAATTGACTATTCAATTTAATACGACACCTTCGTTCACTGTAAAACACGCAAACTATATGGTTATTTTTTACAGCAATAGCAATAACTACAAGACGACAAAATAAATTTTCTAAAAAAGCTATGACCGTGGAGATGAAGGTGAGTTTAGAAATACATTTCAACTCACGAAATACACAATGAAGAGGCGGGCGATAACAATCAGAAAACAATTACATTTAAATAATACAACGACGGAAAGCACACAAACTTTCTATCGCCCACCTAAATTCAATTGTTCCAGAAGGGGAAAATAGAGATTAAAGTGCCAAATGTGCCAAATAATACACCACTTCTTACGATGAAAAAAATAATAAAATCTTGGCGACGATTAAACTTATTTGCATTTCACTCTGTTAAAAAGCAATTGACATTCTACTCAACCAGGTGATCAGTAAAACTACTGGCATACATGCGCGATAAAATCAATGCAATACATTTCAACAGAAGTTACTTCCTCACTAAAGTAATAAGTTCGATGTAAAGGAAAATGGTTTCACAACTATGAAGCCCTTCAAACAAGTGCTGCTATAACTATTTGCCAAAGATGTCCACGGTGATACGGGCTAAAAACTACGAGTGAAAGTTTGCTTAAAAATCACTTTTAACATTAAATTTGATTCGACTTGAAATTTTGAAAGATATAATAGACAATTTAAATGGAATTAAAACTCCTTGCAGCGACTTACATCTCTTCCACGAGGAGAACCCGGGTAATTTGCATTCGGACAAGACAAAATATTTGCTTAATTTGTATCGAGACTGGGTATAAAGAAACCTCACAAAAAAGACCGTTTTGGCGCTTTAAATGTTAAAAATGTTTCCATTAATTAGGCTCTCTTCACATTTTCCTAGAGCGCCTTTACATGTGCCTAAGAACTACGAGTGAAAGTTTGCTTAAAAATTACTTTTGGTTCTAGTTAAATTTGATTCGACTTAAAGGTGTAAAAGATAAAGAACATTTAAATGGAATTAAAACTCCTCGCAGCGATTCACATCTCGTTCACGAGAAGTAATTTGGATTCGGACAAGACAAAATCTGAACGGCTTTGTATCGAGACTGGGTATAAAAAAAACCTCACGAAAGAGACAGTTTTGGTGCATTTTAAAAATGTCATAATCTTCCCACTAATTACTGTAGGCTGTCTTCACGTCACACGTGCCTAATCGAATAATGTGGCTTTTTTGTCTTTTTCACGAGTTACATGCCCGGTATTTTCCTCAGCGTTATTTTATCTTTATTTATTTCAATCTAGTTTTTCTTTTACTTATTGTATTTGTATAGCGTGGCAAATTTGAAAATAAAATAATAAAAGCATTGGTTTGGGTAATATTGCTAACAAAGTTACTAAGCGACGGGAGAGACAGGTGCAATGTTTAAATTTTGAGCCAATAAATATCATTACCAATGAACACAGCCGTCAGCGGAAGCTGAAAACAAGTTTTCAAGCCCAACTGTTTTAGAATGATAAAGGATCTTTAGTGGTTTACACATGCCATTTTCGCAATTCGTGATCATAGCGACACAAGCCTTAACAGAGCTAGTCAGAGTTGAGAGGATTCAATAAACACAGGTGAGTATCCGTACACAATAATACAATGCTTGTGTACTAAAACATGCTGTCTTTACCCCGCAAAGCCAAGAGGCTTTACACTTTTAACCGGAAATGAAGCAAAGAGTTATGCCTATGGCTACAAACATTTTATGCACTAGCCTGTTCCAGGCTGCAAGATAGTCGGGTCCAGTGAATTGAGAGAGAGCGAACATGAAAAAAAAGACAA